GTCAAATATGCAAGGGCGCGCTACACTTGATAGACCTGGGTGTGGTGATAAGAATGCTAAGGTTGTTAGATCGCCGCCCAGAAGCGGCGCGTCATCCCATTGCCCAGAGATGATGTCAAATATGCAAGGGCATGATGGGGTCTGAGATGGGGCTAAGAACAGAAGGTGGAATGCTAGATTGCGTTTTGGGACATGGAATTATTCCTTCTTTTCCTTTTGGTTGTGATATCATGTATCGATTCATGTTAGCCGACCCCAATATCTTTTGGGACTAAGTCTTGGATGTTGTTGTTGTTGTTGTATAAGTTTGATCTTTACACTGCTTATTTGAGATAGACATTTTTAATCTTAATTCACATTAATAAACCTTGTTTTTAATTATTAATGTGGATTTCAATTCTAAGTTATATACATTTTAGTTAGTAATATATTATACATAATATATAATTAAATACATAATTATATATAAATATATAATTATATATATAATATAATACACATATAGGCGATTAGTCACCTAATTGTCGCCTAGGCGATATGACGGTCAGTTGGCGCCGCGACTCGACTTACCGCCGTGACAAGTATGATGAAGAGGAAGCATGTGTGATGGGTCTCTTCAATTCATATATCCGCATCAGAATGAAAAGGAGGATCCAGAATCTTCATGGCTTGCCGATGGGATGTCATATCGAGCGGTGATGTTTCTCTTCTTGGGCATTAGATGAAAAGGAAGAAGAACTCAATAAATGAAGAAGAACTGAAGAAGGATGAATATTGGAGATAGGAGAGGTGTATAGCTGCAGGCATAGTTGTCATGGCGCATGGCGCAACCCATGGCACACAGGCCATTTTCCATGGCGATGGCGATGGCGCAAATATGGCGTCGCCACGTGACAAAAAAACCTTCAAAACGAATAATAGATACTGCAATTCATCAACCCAAGTTTACCCAACCACCAAAACATGATAAAATAGTTCAAAGTACTTCCAAAAAACATAATATTCAAAAAAAAAGTTTCTGTCTTGCAAAATATGTTAGGATTTAGGCTTGTTAGCTTGTTTTTGTTTGATGATTATGGCATAATCATCATCAATCATCAGACTCCTCATCATCTTGGTCTGAATCTGATAGCAATGGCACACCATCCTCATTCATTTCATTCTCGGAGGGATCTGCAACCTCGTCCGTTTCCTCCATTTCCTCCGCCTCCATCTTGTTGTTAGTATTATGGGCTAAAATAGTAAGTTTTTGTTAGAGTTTTATTGCTGTAATGGGTCGCAGATTGTTATGGCCCAAAAGTCCACAACTTACAACTCAAAAACGCGGACCCATTTTGTCAAAAAAACATTCGCATCGCCATGGCGAAGGTGCAGGAATGGCGAAGGCGCAGGAATGGCGACGCCATGTGTATACACCTCGCCACAGCCCCTTTTCATAGCGCAGAGGGTTTTTCGCGCCACATAGCGCATGGCGCGCGCCCCATATTGCGCCATCGACTACCATGGCTGCAGGACTTTGGATTTTCATTTTTGGACGAGCCAAATGATCGTGGCAACCGGGCTTGGAATGATGACAATGAGCACAACTGCACAGATCCAACTGAAAGGGTTGGCTGCTGGTTGGCTGCTGTGAAGAAGAACGGCAAAGTAAGCGGGTGGGGTGAAGAAACACAACAGTGGGGGAAAAGAAAGAAAAGAAATAAGAAAAAAAAAAGTAGCCATGTAGACCGCCACGTGTGTATGTTTACCGACTAATCTGATGATTAGCTGATAAACAACTTATTTTGATATTTTTAAAAAAGTTGGAGGGCTTAATTGGGTGATTATTTAGTTCGGGGTCTTAATTGACCTTTTTAGTATAGTACAGGGGCATATTTGATAGTTTTCTCTTTACTTGATTAAAACTTGAATTCAATGTCTATGCCTCGTTTCGTAAGCCTCAACGCAGAAGGTGTAATGTGGGAGTCACCTTAGTGAATATTTTACCAAAAAAATCATCAGTCGATTTTAATAAAACTCGGTCCTCTAAATGTTGGAAATAAAATTGGCCGACATTATGGATTAAGAAAGACCTTAGGACATGTTTACTTTATTTTAAATTTCACTCTTAGCTTATAAATACATTACACATGTGATGCAAACAATTTTTTGGATAAATACCTTCTTAGTAAACACATTTTATATTTTACTGCGTATGTTATTTCTTAATAAGCTAACATGTTAAACTTTTTTATATTGATAAATATACCCCGTTTTGCTTCTCCTAATGGGAAATCGCTGAAGCACCCCAACCCCAATCCCCTTCCCTTTTACACCCACCCCTACCTCCACCTTGGCCTCTATGCCCACAGCCCCACCCCTACCCACACACCACAACCTCTTGCCCCATACGTCTCACCCCACACTTACCCCTACCCCTAACCCACCTAACCCCAACCCCACCCTACATCACCCATAACCCCACCTTACCCTCACAACCTCCTACCTCATACCCGGCTCTACCCCTACCCTAACCCACCCTTTAGTTACCCACCTCTACCACTACCACCATCCCCACCACCTACCTCCCCCGTGACGTTTGGGAGTAGGGGTCTGAGTGGTAGTAAATAGGAGGTAAAGTCCCTTAAAAGTTATCATTGACATTTTAAAGTTAATCCATGTTTTAATAAATGCATCGGTCTCGTGAAGTAAACATATTTTTATTAAGCAACTCTTATTAAAGAGCAGGTTAATAAAACATGTTTTAATAAATAGCGCTTACTAACCCATAAAGTAAACATGTTCTTAAGGGATTCTACTAATGCCAATGTCAACCAAATGATGATTGATTTAGGACTTGAGAAGTTAGGATTGATGAGAAGACGGGGATCTTCTTTAAGTATTTTATGCATGTTCATCGTTCACTTTAGTTTTTCGTTTATGTACATGTATCTATACACTATCTAGTCTTTAGACTTTTATCATAATCGTTATTAAGGATGTTTTTAATTGGACTCAAATTTTTTAGTCTGATATGGACCGGAGTGATAGATGTATGTTCTATGTATATTTTATAACTGTCGAAGTCTGATCTGATCCAATTTAGTCTAATCTGATCCGATCTGTTTAAGTCTGGTCTGGTCTGGTTTGGGACTGAAACTATTTTAATTAAAACATTCTAATAACTACCTACCCTCTAAAGGTTGAGGCAAAGTAACAATTTATGGTTTAGCACCTATTTTTCATTCTAAAAGGTTAATATTCAAAGAAGTAACACACAACCTTTTTTTTAATATTTATATGTGGATGTAGCTTTATTTCTTATATTTATGTATCTTTATTTTATTCATTTTATCTGACTTTTTTTTCCTTTTCTTGTCCGTCTTCTCTTTTTGGCGTCGATATCATAGATCGATTCATGTTAGCCGACCCCAAATTCTTTTGGGATTAAGGCTTGGATGTTGTTGTTGTTGTTGTATATGTGGATGTAGCTCATGCCAAATCGAGGCTCGAGATCAACAATTTGAGGTGGGCCAAAAATAGACAAAAAAGGCAACAAAACAACCAAATCACTACCGGATCTGACTTTAATACCATATTAAGACCGGCAATTTTATTTATAAAAGTGAATCAGAATAATATATATTTTATTAATATTTTATACATTGCCGTTGTGAAACAAATACTTTAACATATATAACTATTTGGCTAAAACTATTGTACTACCTCCGTCCCGTTGGAAGGTTCCCATAGCGAAACGGCACAGTTATTTAGGCAATAATTAAATAAAGTACTTCGAGTATATTTTGAGAAATAATTTTAATACGTATATATTATAATCTAGTTAATATTGATAACTGTGATGTTATAAATGCATTATTTTTAATACATTTAATGATTAATTTGTCACTTAAGATTGTTAATTGTTTCCTAAAATGGAAATGGGAACCTTCTAACGGGACGTCCAAAAAAGGAAAGTGGGAACCTTCTAATGGGACGGAGGGAGTAATTCTATACATGGTCGTAGCTAGGGGAGGGCCAATTGCTCTGGCCCTGGCCCAGTCCAAATTTTAAAAATGTCCATATTTTTAGTGTAAAAAATTCGGTGTAAAAAAAAATTAAAAATATTTTCTGTACCGACCCAGTCTAGCCGGTGTCTTGGCTCCACCCCTAATTCTATAGGCCCACATCTTAAAACGCTCGGAATTCTCTTGAAAGAGGTAGCATATTCTATATTATTATTGTATCCCTTTCCTATGGCGTATTTGAATGAGATGTGTTAGTATTTAGTATAACAAAATTTCGAGAAAATTTCCGAAATATGAGTAAAATCGTTTTGAAATTTCAAAATAGGACTATCATGTTTTTATTTCCTAAATAGGAGTAATTACCGCCAATCTTGGAAAATACTATCATATTTAATAAAAAATGCTATTCATCAATTTGATACTGTTGTTCCAATTATTCCTATCCTTGGATCCCTAGCTAAAGCTAAATTTTGTAATGTACTTGGGAATCCCATTAGTAAACCGGGTTGGACCGACTTCTCAGATTCTGAGATTATTAAAAGGTTTGGGCGGATATGTCGAAATTTTATTCATTATTATAGTGGTTCTTCCAAAAAAACCAGTTTGTATCAAATAAAGTATATACTTAGGCTTTCTTGTGCTCGAACTCTAGCTCGGAAATTTCAAGATTGGCGGTAATTACTCCTATTTAGGAAATAAAAACATGATAGTCCTATTTTGAAATTTCAAAACGATTTTACTCATATTTCGGAAATTTTCTCGAAATTTTGTTATACTAAATAGGAACAATTACTGCCATGTTTGGAGACTTTAAATATGATAGTATTTTCCAAGGCGGTAATTACTCCTACTTAGGGAATAAAAACATGTGACATCTCACACTTATTTTGGAATTTACCAACGTTTTTACTCCTATTTCAGGCAACTTCTTAAAAATATCTCTCTATGATTCAACAACTCTGAATTAACAAAAAAGATGCATTACAAACTAACCTATCCACTGGCCGAGTGTGGGATGAATGAAAGCAGCTCCTAATCCAGCACCAATGGAAGCAAAAACAAGAGATGTACCGCACCTAATAGTAGTGGTGTAAACCTTCTTCCCAAACAGCCTAACTTTTTCTTCTTTGTCAGCCTGTGAGTTGAAGAGTCCGTATATATCTATCCCAATTTGGACTATCCACGATGCAAGAGTTCCTAGGACATAACCTTCTCAACCAAACAGTTGAATTCAGATATATGAGAAACGATGCTCATGCATATTGGATACAACAACATTATCCGGGCCTTAGTCCCAAAAGAGTTTGGGGTGAGATGATATGAATCGACATATGAAATACTCCCTCCGTCCATTAAAACTTTGTCATCTTTCCTTTTTGGGACGTCCCCAAAAACTTTGACACTTTCCCTTTTACTCAATTATTTTGTGGTTTCTGTTATTTCTCTCTCCCCTGCACAAACCTCAACCACACAGTTTTTACTTTATTATTCTCCGTACCGATCAACTTTGGCAAAGTTTTAAGGGACGGGTGTAGTAGGAGTTAACAAAGATTGAAAGATAAGATAAGATAAAAAATAGATGAAATAAAGATAAAAAGATAAAGAAGATAAGAAAGATATTAAATAAACATATAGGATATGTGTATGCGCGTGTGAATAGGGTTGGATTCTAATGAAAAGAAGCTTTTTCTTAGAAATAAGAATAAACCGATGCCTTTCATTGCTGATCAATTTTTCATCAAAACACAGTGGCAAGTTGTAATATTTCACTTTATCGTGCAGCATTTTGTGATATAGAGTGTTTGGTGCATATATAAAACTGCATTGTTGACAGTTAAAAAAAGTTATCACCTTTTTTAAGTTGCTCACTTTATTCTCTATACTAATGCACCTTTAAAATGATCAAATGCACATTTTGTATACGCTGTTGCACTTGTATTCATTTTACTTTAATTACAAAGTTTCTTAAAATTACAAACACCACCGCGCTTTAGACATAAAAATTGATCTCATCCATCTTTTTTTTCACATCAATGATCAAGATTACTTCTAATTTTTCATCTAAAAAGTACTACTTCCGTCCCAATGGACTTTACACTCCTTGAATTAGATGTGAAATAAGAATAGTAAAAATTGTGTGGTTGAAATTTGTACAGAGGAGAGAGAAATGAGCATAACCACAAATAGTTACTTTAGTGGGAAAGTGGGAAAGTTTTTTGGGACAACAAAAAAGGGAAAGTTGGCAAAGTCCAACGGGGCGGAGGGAGTACTTTTTATTTGAACCAAATTATATGCGCACACACATATATAGTGTTTAATGTGTACAATGTGAATCTCATTTCTAGTTTTCTACTTTGCTATTATATGTTGAACTAATGAGCTTTCCAAGGTGGCAAAAAGTTCACTAATTTAAAAAACACGGTGGCAATTTCATAAATAAGTGAACTATTTGCTACCGAAAAAATTGCATTAGCTAGACATAAAAGTGCAAATAGTGAAGCAAAGGTGGAGGTTCGCTTTTCACAAGTAGCGTGATTTTTGCTACCACGCGCTATATATGCATGTATGTAAGTATCGAGAAAAGAAAACTTTTCACCTCTGAAAGTTGATCTGCTAACACTGTATGTGTAGACTAAAGTTGGCATTTTACGTCCTGCCTTGCGAGCAGCTGACTTTGGAATATCTGCATATGAAGTTTTTCCTCATTAGAGAGGGCATTAATCAATGATGATGATGATGACGCGAATGTGACAATAACATGAATCAATCAAAGTTCTGGTGTACCTTTGAGGAGTTTCCACGCCATGCGCTGTGAGACATAATGGACAGCAACTCGCTCTAACACTCGTCTAATGGTCACAACTGTTGTCTGAGTCATGCATGATACACCAGATATTATTTGTGAGCTAAGTCGACTGACAGATTAAACATCAGATAATTAAAAGAAAAAAAGTAGTAAAAACATCATAGCATATCTCAAGTAGCTATAAAGAAGTTGGAGCCATGCACTGAAAAGTTGCATGCAAATAATGTGCAAGCCAAAAGGCTTTTTACGTTAAACAGAGTAAAGAGATAACATGGTAAGTTGTCACTTGTCACCAAAGGGATGACCACACTATCAACTGTACATGAAAATTAAAACCATCCCAAAAAATTTCATTTACAAACACATAGTTATCTACGAGCTCAAATACATAGTACTTCAACTCGCTGATCAAATTCGCCAGCTAAAGGAAGTTACAGTTTGAAAAAGAACAAATACATCACTACAATCTATAACATGAAAAGAAAAACTTGAAACTGTACAGAGAAAAATGATTATATCTCACATGCTCTTTCTCCTCACTCAACATTAAATATCATGTAAAATTATTGACCAAAACACATTTATGGTTATGAGCATACTACCTAAAGTCTAAGCAAATTGGAAGACTCTTAGAAACTGAAGACTGATGAAACTGCTCAAAACTGCAAAGCTGAAAAGGAATCAGGAAAAAGATATGCAGCTACTAGTCAACTTCCATGGTTCGCAAGATGGACTTGCAAAATATGTATGGTAAGGGACACACATGACTAGCAAATATCTCCACTTATCATCATTTTACCCGTACCATATTTCCTATGCCAGTGAAAAACTATTACTGCGTAAAATATATTATTAAATGTGAACATTATCATTCATGCATGTTAATGGTATGTCACCCACAAACACAACATTACTAATCATATTTCATTTTCATTTCATTTTCATTTACCCCAATGCCGCAAAGGCTCCCACCTACGGTGAGGTAAGGGGGGGTCGGATGTACGTAGTCTTACCTCTGTACTAAAGTAGAGAGAGACTGTTTCCGGATGACCCATAGTGAAAATCGCGTCCAAAATTGCATGGACCGACTGTTGCTCCATAACAAAGAAGCGCAGACAGTTACTAATCATATTTATGCAAAAATATTGATAAAACTATAATTTCTACGTCTCGGACTAATCCCCGCCTAGGCGTCGGCGCCTAGGCGCTAGGCGAACACCTAACTAGCGCCTAACGCCTTTTACAACATTGAATTGCGTAATGCAATTGCGCCTCATGACACACACCTCAGCTAAATCCAGGATTATGGCGTAAAACGCATTGCCTATGGCGCTGAGAGGCGTACACGATCTAATAAATTTGAATTTTGATATGTTAGCAATTTTGTTTTGAAGGGTTCAGAAATTTTTGGGATTCCGTGGTACATTCAATGTATGACTTTGATAGGATTATGGCCCCTTATAATTTGTTTTAATATGACGTTTGATGACTTTTGGTGAATGATGAATAAGTTTTACTTTTTATTATTATTACTTTTATATAAAAACGCCATGGCTGGTTCTGAGAATTAAAGTGTTTTCATACTAGCGAGCACCGCGCTCTCTTCCTAACCGGTCTGGTTTTTCCTTAGCAGATTTAAGGTTTGCTTCTTCCGGCCGGTGAATCCCCTTCATTTGTGTCCGGTGTTGGGATTGGATTTGAGGTAGATGGACAAGATTCCTTTCCCAAGCTTGACTACATCGAAGCCAGAGTTCGACAATAGATTTCTTCATGAGCAATGTAGCAAGGGCATGGCAGCGATGAAAATGACCGTTAGCGGTGGATTTGCTACGAGCGCGGGACGAGGAGAGGTGCACGGATTTCGAGCAAGTCAGATGACGATTGACAATGGAGGATCAATTAGAGTGGTACCAAGGATACGGCCTCCTCCAGAACCACCGTCATGGGTTGTACGAGCTTTTTTTATGGCATTGAGTATGTTTGGATCTATGGGAAAAAGGATGGCTGTGTCAAGCCCGCTACATGGTTAGAGATTCGTGTTGCTCTTGAGGGTTGAGCGTCTCTAAATCTTAGAGTAGGGTTTACGGTCGTAATTGTTGGATTTTAGTTGGTGTCAGTTTTGTTTTTCGTTTGATACGAAAGAAGGCTAGTTGTTGATCAAAAAATATATAAAAACGCTACTGCTATTGAATGCGCAATTTTTAACCTTGATACGGAGTATTACATTGAATCAAGAGAACGTTACCTCACGACAAATGTGTCTGACTGATGTCTTAAAAGGAGTGATCAAATCCACTGGCTTCTCTTCCAGGGAGTCTTGAAGATAGTCATCATCTTCTTCTTCCTCGTCGTCCCCGTCGTCCTCCTGCTTAATCTTCATACATGACTCCACCAGAGCCATGTAATTCAATAGGAAAGTCCTTAAGGATGTGAGGGCAAAACTTCTCCAATAAAATGCAGAGAGCAGCGGTTTTTGTTCAACTAAATATACTTTGGAAAAGTGATGATTGAAGTTAATTGGTGATAAATCACTTCCTAAGCTAGAAATATAATCCCCTGTGAGCCCCGAGCCAGCATCACAAAATGCCAGGCTGTTTCCGAAGAAGGCCCTAGAAGCAAAAGGAGTGGTAGCCGCCGCAATAGAAGCTGCGGCAGCAGAGGCGGCGACTTGAGCTGAGAGAACGCCGTAAGAATGGAGGGTGTGACCAGTGGAGCTCGGGTTTTTACGGAGTAGATCCAAAACAATCGCAACCCCAGCCATGTTTTTAATTAAGATATAGGAAATCTTTTATTCCCTAGTCCTAAGCACCATAGCCAAAGCTCTAATCTTCCGCTCTTCAAAGCTCTAACTTTGCGTTTCCTAGACTGCTCCGGCGGCTGGTGTTGGAGGAGGAGGAATAGGACGAACAAAGGAACAAGAAACGATTTTTGCCTCTCCTGTCCTGTGCCTGCCGATGTAAATAAATACTCCGTATGTTGGTTGGTATCTGGCCTGGGCTTTTGTAAACGGTGGTGATAATAATTTTGGCCCATCCTATGTCAACCCATGGGCTAAAGACTAAAAGTAAATAGTCTAGTATTATTTTCGTAAAATGAAGGTCGGGAGAACTATCAAATAAGTCTTGAACTTTCATAAAAAGTGTAAATAAACCCTTTTATAGGAGGTTTTGTCTGGCGTTCGCCATTTGGGGCGGTTTCCGTTGGAATTGTTTGATGAATTTTTTTGAACATATTCTTTATTAAGTCTAGTTCATTCATACCAAATGGCGTTCAGCATATTCTTTATTTTTTGAGCATATTCTAACATCGGGCTATATATCATACTTGGGCCAATTTGACAGCGTCTTCAGCATAGCCCAACATCCCGTTCGGGCAACGGCCAAACCGCAAGTGGCCAGGTGCAATTAATGTCAGACTGTGACATCAGCGAGTGGAAGCATGGATGACCAAGTCGGTGGAACAACGGCCAATCAGCATAGGGCAGCTCATGCTCTCCATTAGTATAAATAGAAGGTTTCAAGTCATTGTAAGGGTTAGCATTTCAATACTCAGGCTCTAGAATAGCATCATTGCTCTTATTTCTTGTATTAAAGTATAGTTTCCGACCTACCGATCGGGAATTTCCTTGTAATCAGACTGGTTAATTAATACAAGTGAGCTTTCGAGTGTTAGTTAGTTCAGATCTTATATTTTTTACACGCTTTGATTCTGTGTCATTCCTGATATATCCAAAGTTCGTGTTGGGCTTTCGGATCTACGGGATTTACCCTCAACATTGGCGCCGTCTATGGGAAACTTGCAAAAAGATTCACATTCAAATCATCCAAAAACCTCTATTTTCAAAAATGGTCAGAATCAGCTCCTATCATACAAACGACGGTTCACGCCGTCACGGGAGGAGTCACACCCCGGGGAGTCAAAACCCTCAGGGACAATCCAGCCGGGGATTGTATCCTCATTTTGATGGGGATTTTGTGATTCCCGAATCTCTGAGAAGAAATCCTCAGGCCATGCGTGACATGGCCCAGGTCATGCAGCATATGGCGAACGAAGAGGAAGGAGTTTCCAGCTTTACAGGGGAGACTCCACGCACGGAAACAACCACGACGTCATCCCGTTCACATGCCCATCGGGATAATCGACGTAGCGCCCCACCAACAGCGCACCACAGTCCCAGTGACCGAACCCCGATCGGATCACAAGCTAGAGGACCAACTCCCGTTGGTCATCATTTCCAGTATGCCGAGCGGGAAAATACTAGGGCCCCTCAACGGCATTGGGACCGGGACTGTACGGATATGAGGGCTCCACCACTGCCCCCTTTGACGGCCCAGGAGGAAGAAATGGCCGAGATGATGAGGCAAATGAATGAAATGCGAGACCAGATGAACAGGGCGCCTGTACAACCTGCCCCGGTTCAGCTGGGAATTACTTCCCCGTTTACTAGGGAACTCATGTACGCATATATCCAAGGGGGTGCCAAGCCCCTGACCGGCCAAATCTATGACGGAGTGGGGGATCCCCACGTACATTTGAGGAGTTACCAAGGGGGACTCATGCTGCTAGGAGCACCCGAGGCCGCTATTTGCCGGTTGTTTTTCAGCACGCTCAGGGGGCCTGCCCAGGAGTGGTTCGGGACACTGCAGCCCGGGTCAATCAACAGTTTTGCCGAGTTATCGGCGTTATTCTTGGCTCAGTTTGCTTCTAGTGCCAATCCCAAACGGCACTTCAGCTATTTGACCAGCGTGAAGCAAAACGCCAAAGAGACCCTCAATCAATTCCTGAAAAGATGGAGGGATGAAACTTTAACGGTGGGAAACATGACGGATGATACCGCCATTACCCTATTCACGAATGCTCTCCGAACGAAGGAGTTTTACAAGGAGTTAAAGAAAAATTCGGGTACAGTCTACGCCGAGGTATTAGACAGGGCTCGCAAGCATGCCGCCCTAGAAGAGGAGATAATGATCAGGGATAAGGTCATTGCGCCTGCTGCCCCGATCAGAATGGCCGATCGGCTGGGTCCTAGCCCAGCGGCCGCTTTACCTCCCAAGCAAGGGAGATTTACACCCCTGGTCCTATCAGTAGCGACCATTTATCAGCACGAGAGGGACAATATTCCCCTCCCGACTGATTCTGGACAGTTCATGGGAGCGGATGACAATGCTTTCTGTAAATATCACAACAGGAAGGGTCATGCCACCAATGCCTGCAGGGCCTTACAAACAGCCATTGAGGATTTGATCCGAAGGGGTCATCTGGGCAAATATGTAAATAAAGATCCAAATGCTATGGGCACGTTGAAACCGGTCAGGAAACCTAATAGCGTGCGCCGGGATGCCCAACGTGACGCCCAGCCTCAGAATGAGGTGTATGTTCCCCCCAGAGATGAACCAGAGGGCTCGGGAGGCCCTGGAAAGAAACCTCGGATGGAGGTCAAGGTTATATTCGGGGGCGGGGAGACAGGGGATTCAAACGCCGAACAGAAAAGGTTCGAGCGAAGTCTGTATGTGAGATCCGTCTCCGCTCCCCCCCAGAAGAAAGGAAGGGCAGACCCGATCACGTTCGTGCCAGCTGATTTACCCAACTCTCCAAGCCCACACAGGGATGAACTGGTGGTAAGCATGTGTATTGACAATGCTTTGATCCGCCGAGTACTGGTCGATACCGGGAGCAGCGTGAATGTATTGTATCTACAATCATTCGACAAAATGGGTCTACAAAGAAGCCAACTGACCCACCTACGGGCCCCACTGGCAAGTTTCACCGGTAATTGCATTGAAGCTGATGGTACCATCCAATTGATGGTTGAAATTGGGGATGAAACACACAAAGCGTCACTCCGAATGACGTTCGTGGTGGTGGATATAAAGTGTGCCCACAATGCCATTTTGGGCCGACCGGGACTGGAAGATCTGGAGGCAATAGCCTCTGTCCGCCACTCATGCATGAAATTCCCTACAGACACTGGGGTTGGGGTGGCCAGAACTGATCCGACGACAGCCCGGACATGTTATCGGGAGGCCCTGAAACAGATGAACACTCGTGGGATGCGGGTTAATACAATTGAGGTGGAAACCCACCGAACGGAGTTCGAGGCACACCCAGAGCCCGCCACCCTTCTTGAACAAATCGACCTCGATTTCCCCCCGAACCGTAAGGTGGCTATCGGGGTAGATCTGGAGGCTGATATCCGGGATGACGTGATTGCCGTCCTCAAAAAGTTTCAGGTACTGTTTGCCCGGGGGCCAGAAGATATGCCCGGTATTAATCCGGAGATAATATGTCACAAACTTGCCGTTCGGCCTGATGCGAAACCAGTCCAGCAGAAGAAACGGTATCAAGCAACCGAACGGCGGGAATTCACAAAGAAGGAAGTGGCCACCTTGTTGAGAATAAAGCACATCAGTCCGGTAATCCACGTAGAATGGCTATCCAATGTGGTTCTAGCCCCAAAACAATCAACTTGGAGAATGTGTGTGGATTACTCTGACCTGAATAAAGCGTGCCCCATGGATCCCTATCCAGTGCCGAGGATCGATTTGCTGGTGGATGAAACTGCCGGATGTGAATTACTGAGCTTCATGGATGCTTTCCGGGGTTATCATCAGATATTCATGCACCCGGCTGATGCATAGAAAACGACGTTCGTTACTTCGGATGGCGTGTTTTGCTATATCGTCATGCCATTCGGATTAAAGAACGCAATGGCAACTTTTCAAAGGATGATCGGGATGTTGTTCAAAGAAGTGCTGGGGGTCACAATGGAAACTTATGTTGATGACATCCTGATCAAAAGCAAGAAGAAGGAAAACCATGTCCTGGACATAGAAAAGGTGTTCGGGATAATGCAAAAAGCAAATATGAGGCTGAATCCCAAGAAATGTGCTTTTGCTGTAAGAGGGGGCAAATTTTTGGGATACATGATGAGCGAGAAGGGGATTGAGCCCAACCCAGAAAAAGTAAAGGCAATTGTGGATATGGAGGCTCCAAGAAATCTCAAAGAAGTGCAGAGATTGACCGGCCGATTAGCAGCCCTGAGCAGATTCCTATCCAAACTGGCCGATCGAGCTATCCCGTTCTTCCAGATCATGAAGAAAGCCAACCCTTTTGAATGGACGGCCGAATGCCAAACGGCCTTTGAAGATTTCAAAACGTATCTGTCTTCCCCTCTGGTCTTGACAAAACCCGAACCAGGGGAGCACCTGTATATGTACCTAGCTGTAGCTGACCTGGCCGTGAGCACAGTACTGTTGAAAGAAGAAGATGGCGTTCAACGACCAATCTATTTTGTAAGCAAGGCGTTGAACGGCCCAGAAACCAGGTACACCTTGCTAGAGAAAAATGTACTGGCCCTGATAGCTGCCATTAAACGTCTGGCACCGTATTTCCAGACCCACCCGGTAACTGTGTATACTACCCAGCCACTGGCCACCATCTTGAGAAATCCTATGGCAAGTGGACGCATTACCAAGTGGAGCCTCCTGATCGGGCAATATGAGGTGGATTTCAAGCCTCCTACTATCAAAGGACAGGCCCTGGCAGATTTCATTGCAGAATGTACCGCCCGGCCCTCAGAAACAGACTCAGAGAACAATGGGCTGGATAACTGGTGGGAAATGTATGTGGATGGTGCAGCTAGTGCCAAGGGTTGTGGAGCTGGAGCTGTGATCACATCGCCCGAGGGGTTCAAAGCATACTATTCTATCCATTTTAACTTCAAGGTAACCAACAATGAGGCTGAATATGAGGCTCTCATTGCTGGTTTAAAATATGCAAGGGCCCTGGGTGCCGATCGGTTAAAAGTTCGATCGGATAGTCAATTGGTAGTACATCAAGTAAACGGCACTGCTGAGGCCAAAGAAGAGAGGATGAAGGCCTACAAGGAGATAGTTGAGGAGCAGATACGTAAATTTGAACAGGTGGTGCTCGACCAAATATCCAGGATTGAAAATACTGAAGCAGATATCCTA